GTCATCAATTGTAAAACAAGCCATTTAGGGCTGAAATAGAGTATTCGGACTGTGAGTCCGAGAACTCGTGCTTCGTGACTCCTTCCCACAAAACGCGCTCCACACTTTGGAGCCAAGGCGCGCTTTAAGAATGTCGACAAATTGCATTATTCGATCAGATAAGAGTAGTGCAAGAGTTGGCGGTGAGTGCTGTTGACCAGTCAATTCACTTTAATGGATCAGTTCAAAATTAGGGACAGCTGTGCATAAATAACCCCCATGTTTGGCACTAAATTCTAAAAGTAGCAAATAAACTAAATCAGTTGAGCTCGAAATAATATTTTTCAATTGCGAGTTTTGTATATATAAATACAGTAGCAGAACGTCAAGATAACGCATGGAATAGTTAGTTTAATTTTTACTACTTGTGTTGTATTTCTTGTCCGTTTTCGATCCAAAGTAACTAACACTAACACATGAAATTTCGAAGTTGTAGGATCAGAAGTAGCTCTATGGGAAAAACAAAACATTAAACAGTATTGCACCTTCTACATAAAGCTGGTGCTAAGATCCGGTCATGTAGAAATCCCAGTTGCTATAGCAACTCCACTGTCTGTACACGATGTTGGATGTGGAAGATCAGAGTAAAGTAAGAGTAGCTTTTGAACAATGCATGAATGCACCATGGCAACGCCTATATTTTACACGGCATACGTATACAATATGAAGCAACTGATAGGATTCAAGTGAACAAGCCGAGCAGAAACCGCAGTCACTATAGCAACCATTCGATTTGTGTATATTGTTGGAGAGGATGGCTGTAAATGTTTTAAGCACAGTTTCTATCCTGGCAACTTCATCTCCATGTCATCTTTCAGATGCCACTTCAGTATGGGGATATAAGTAGAAGGCAAACATTACAACAGCACAGATGTATCTCAAACATTTCTCTCTGCTCCCCCCCCCCTTTGGCCGGCATGGCCAGGTGGTTAGGGCGCTCGACTCGACATCTGCGGGTCGCGGGTTCGAATCCCCGCCAAATATGCTCGCCCTTTTAGACGTGAAAGGTGTTATAATGTGACGGTCAATCCCATTATTCGTTGGTTAGTTCACCCATGGGTAATGTTAAAATATGATGTTAGTATACGCTGATGGGTAGTGTTAAAATATGATGTTAGTATACGCTGATGGGTAGTGTTAAAATATGATGTTAGTATACGCTGATGGGTAGTGTTAAAATATGATGTTGGTATACGCTGATGGGTAGTGTTAAAATATGATGTTGGTATACGCTGATGGGTAATGCCTAAAATATGATGTTGGTATACGCTGATGGGTAATGCCAAAAATATGATGCTGGTACACGCTGAGGGGTAATGCTAAAAATATGATGCTGGTACACGCTGAGGGGTAATGTTAAAATACGATGCTATTATACACTGATGACATAAGACCCAGTTTGATCAATCTTTAATGACCACGAAAACAGAATGAAGAGTTATCTGTGTTAGTTTTCCTGTACCTTCTTTTCAAAAGCTAAATTAAGTATTTTTCTTAGTTTTTTTGTTTAATAATATATTGTAGTGTTGCCATGGTTGTTTTATGTTATTAAATTGCGTTTTTTTCGTTGTTGTATAAAATATGTTACTGAAAAAATATAATAGTTGATTGCAAATAATTTTAACATAAAATTTGTAAGCGTTTTATTTTATTTCTCTGACGTCGTATCACGTCTCTTTTCATGGCTGATACACTTTTTTGGTGACGTAATACTTCATACTAAGTCTATTTTCATGGCTGATACAGTTTTATTTGGTGACGTCATATCTTATACTAAGTATTTTCATGGCTGATACTGTTTTATTTGGTGACGTCATATCTCACACTAAAGCATTTCATGGCTCACAGTTTTTTGGTGACGTAATACTTCATACTAAGTCTCCTTTTATGGCTGATACAGTTTTACTTGGTGACGTCATATCTCATACTAAGTCTCTTTTTATGGTTGATACAGTTTTATTTGGTGACGTAATACTTCATATTGAGTCTCTTATCATGGTTGATTCAGTTTATTCGGTGATGTCATACTAGTTCCCATTTCAGTAGCTGTTACAATGACGTTTTGTTTTTTTTCTTGTTTACAAAATCAAAAGTATATAGAATGTATTACGCAATTACACCAGCATCTACCTAACATAAAGGAGTTAAACATAATAACTTTTTAACTACAACATTGCTATATCATGCATTCTGAAAGTTTACACCGTAAAGGATCATTAAAAAAGTGTTTTTCGAATCTAACAAGGCAGTGAACGAGTCAACGATGAACAGAAAAAGTGACTTAAATGTTCAAACGTTTTTTGTTCAACGCAACACTTTTAAAATAAAATAATAATAAAAAAAAAAAAACTTTCAAAAGCTTCATATTCCAAGGTGTGTAGATCAGGTAAAATAAACGCTCAATTCCCCTGATGGATTGTCCTCCGGTTGGACATCGGTAAGTCTTCGGACTTACAACGTTAAAATCATGGGTTCGATTCCCCTCGGTGGACACAGAAGATAGCCCGATGTGGCTTTGCTATAAGTAAACACACACTCACACACACACATGGCCCGGCATGGCCAGGTGGTTAGGGCACTCGACTCGCAATCTGCGGGTCGCGGGTTCGAATCCCCGTCACACCAAACATGCTCGCCCTTTCAGCCGTGGGGGCGTTATAATGTAACGGTCAATCCCACTATTCATTGATAAAAGAGTAGCCCAAGAGTTGGCGGTGGGTGATGATGCCTAGCTGCCTTTCCTCTAGTCTTACTCTGCTAAATTAGGGAC